CTTGTGAATTTTCCTTTTTTTGCTTCATTCCTGTTCATTACATCTCCATACCAGCCGATGACATCAGATGTGATTTCACAGCCAATGTCAATCGACTGTACTGACTCCCTTTTCAGCATGAATGTTCCATCCTTCCTTTTAAACATTATCTCATCACTGTATACAAGCACATCACAACAGGACGGATGGTTTACTTTAATTTATGACATCAAACAATAGGTTACCACAACAAAACCATAGCTTACCACATCTTACCATATGGTAATAAGTAAAACACACCAGCTTACCACATCTTACCATATGGTAATAAGTAAAACACACCAGCTTACCACATTTTACCATATGGTAATAAGTAAAACACACCAGCTTACCACATCTTACCATATGGTAATAAGTAAAATAGAACAGGAGTTATGGTTTAATCCATTCTTTAACAACAAACCTTAGCTTACCACATCATACCATATGGTATTAAACTAAAACAAAACAGGACTTGTGCATTACTACATTTTGTAACATTAAACCATAGATTTATCTAATTTTACCATATGGTAACAAACTAGATCACTACAGTAACATCATATAACAGTAGAAGTTTTAAGATGATGACTTACCTCTTGGCAAATTTCTTGTTTTTGCATCTTATGTACTGCAGGATGTTGCTGAACATATCATCAGGTGTTGTTTGTGTTGGTGTTGACCATTCAACTGGTGATTTTTGTGACTGTGGAGCAACTGGTTCGGCAGCTGGAGAATTCATGTCCTCTAGGTAAGCATCTATGCATTCACGGACTTCCTTGAGCTTCTCTTGGCTGTTTGTGTACAGATTTGACCATATAGCATATGACCCCGTCTGTGACTGGGTGCTTTGTGGCTGTTCTGGTGGTGGTGTTGCTCTTGCCTTCTTTTCATTTCCGTGTACATTCTTTATCACGATTCTTCTTTTGCGGGGCTCTGCTGGTTGATCGGTTGCCGTGTTGGTAGTCAACTTTGTTGGTGTTGTTGGTGTTTGACGGTTGAGAGGGCTGAGATCAAAGGACGGAATGTCGTCTTCCCTCGTCACTTTAGGCTTCTCAGCAGCTTCGGTTGTCAGTTTTGGAGCCTCTTCATGAACAACATCATCTGACACCGTCTTCTCGCTGTCAGTTTCTGCAGTCTTTTGTGCAGCTTGCCCTGTATTCCCTTCTTCTGTTGTTTCCTTATCAACTTCCATTGGATCTGCTGTTTTGGTAGCTCCTTTTTCTTTGGTTTCTTCTGCAGATGTCTGTTCTGGAACTGCTTTCTGGGTGTCCTCTTGTTGTGGTGTTCCCTGATTCAGACCTTCTTGAACAGATTGTTCTGGTGGTTCTGTTGCAACTTCCCCCATTGGATCTCCTTGTTTTGGGATGCTTTCCCTATTCACAGCTCCTGGAGCAGAATCATCTTGCTCCTTTTCTTTTGGCTTCGGTGTAGATGCAGCAAGATCGACTGTAGATGGTTGTGAATCATCTTCTTTCTGTGTTTGCTCCTCATTCTCCTCTTCGTTCTGGTCTATCTTTGTCTGTTTGAATATTTCATTGAGTGTTTTATTCAAACTGGCATGCATTTCTTCATCATTCTCTTCTTCATCATCTTCACACTGAGATTTTTCTCCTTCTGTGGGCTGAACATTTTCATCACAGCTTTCTTTCGCAAGATTCTGCTTGTGTCTGATCAGATTGTCAATTTGGCTTTTGTACTGGTCTTTTATTGCTTTCATCATTGCTTTCATTGATGCTTCAAGCAGTTTGATTGCATTCTCAGCCTGCATAATGGGAGTATGGTTAGTTACCATGGTGGTAATACATGGTATTGGCAATTATTATCACTATTCTGCATTTTTATAACATGAAACTATATCTTACCACACCTTACCATATGGTAACAAAGTAAAACAGAACAAGAATTATGGTTTCCTCCATTTTTATAACATGAATTCATTGCTTACCACACATTACCATATGGTAACGTATTAAAACACAACAGGACTTATGTTTTCCTCCATTTTTATAACATGAAACCGTAGATTACCACACCTTACCATATGGTAACAAACTAAAACACAGCAGGACTTGTTGTTTTTTGCTATTTTTAAAACATGAAAGCATAGCTTACCACACATTACCATATGGTAACAAAGTAAAACAGAACAAGAATTATGGTTTCCTCCATTTTTATAACATGAAACCATTGCTTACCACACATTACCATATGGTAACGAAGTAAACCACAACAGGACTTATGTTTTGCTCCATTTTTATAACATGAAACCATAGCTTACCACACTTTACCATATGGTAACAAACTAAAACACAGCAGGACTTACGCTTAGCATGTATTGGACAACTGTAATATAGATAATTGGAATTGGACAACTGTAATATAGATAATTTTTACTTACTTGGTTGACTGTTGTGATATTCTTCAAATCAAAGTTCAGTGATGATGACTGCTCTGGACTTTTGTTTCTTTGTCTTTTCGGTGATTCATAGACTGGCTCATTCTCCTCTTCCTCATCAGCTGCGTCATCAGCCTCATCATCAGCCTCATCGTCTCTAATGTTGGCAACCTTTTCGATCTCGTTCAACTCTTTTCCATTGTAGTAGCTCTTAATGTTCTCAAAGTTGCTATCAACATTGTTATCATCATAGTAGCTTACTGTTGGTGTTCGAAGCTGGGTTGAGAATGCCATTTCGTCCAGTTTGTACATGAAGCATACCTTTTTATGCAGATAGTTGTATTAGTTTTTTCAAAGAGTATCATTTATATATAAAATATATGAGTAACAAGGTTGAAATGGCCAAGGGAATGGAGACTTACTGTAAGGAAGTGAAGATCTGCATTGACGTAGAGCTTTGGTGATTTCAATCCTTCATTCATGTGGTTGAAGAAGTATTTGCACCAGTTGTAGCTGGTGAAATGTTTCTGTTCATCAGTCTTCAAGTACTCAAGCATGTTGAGTTCAGCCATAGGGGCTGAACTTGGGCACAGCAAGCCTCCGGTGACCAGCAGAAAGAACAATTGTAACCATCTCTTACTGTTGGTAACTGTAGAAAGATCTTTTTCTACCTGACTTAGCTTTACCCTTGGAGTGGATTTTCCATCTACTTCCAGTAGGGTTTCTACTGCATAATATGCTGCGTCGTCCCAAGAAATCGTGGGAGGTACAACTTCCCTATTCCCCATTGGCAGACCATATACCCTATGAAAGTCGATTGGTGATATCTTCATGCGTGTCCCGTCAGGTAGCTTGAAAGATTGTTTCATTGGATTGTATTTGTTCATTACGAACAGTGCAAAATGGTTGTTTATCTTTGTCTGCTTGATTGATATTAAGCCTGCTAGGCCTAATATCTCAAGTTTCTCTTTCTGGTCATCTTTTATAGTCCTTGCAATTGTAGATATTCTTGTTGGGCTGCACCTTGTGCGAAAAAAATTTCTTTGCTTTACCATAGTGTACCTGAATGTAGAAATTAGGAATAGTCTGTTAGCGTGCTTTTTACCATGATATACCATATGGTACCATAATGGTTTCCTACCATACCAAATCAAACCATATATTTATCTCATTTTACCATGTCTTATAACATATTACCATATGGTAACGAAGTAAAACACAACAGGACGTATGTTTTCCTCCATTTTTATAGCATGAAACCATAGCTTACCACACATTACCATATGGTAACAAACTAAAACACAGCAGGACTTATGGTTTTTTGCTATTTTACAACATGAAACCATAGCTTACCACACATTACCATATGGTAATAAACTAAAACACAGCAGGACTTATGGTTTTTTTTGCTATTTTACAACATGAAACCATAGTTTACCACAAATTACCATATGGTAACAAACTAAAACAGAGCAGGACTTATGGTTTTTGCTATTTTATAACATGAAACCATAGTTTACCACACATTACCATATGGTAACGAAGCAAAACACAGCAGGACTTATGGTTTTTTGCTATTTTACTACATGAAACCATAGTTTACCACACATTACCATATGGTAACGAAGCAAAACACAGCAGGACTTATGGTTTTTTGCTATTTTACAACATGAAACCATAGTTTACCACACATTACCATATGGTAACGAAGCAAAACAGAGCAGGACTTATGGTTTTTTGCTATTTTATAACATGAAACCATAGTTTACCACACATTACCATATGGTAACGAAGCAAAACACAGCAGGACTTATGGTTTTTTGCTATTTTACAACATGAAACCATAGTTTACCACACATTACCATATGGTAACGAAGCAAAACACAGCAGGACTTATGGTTTTTTGCTATTTTACAACATGAAACCATAGTTTACCACACATTACCATATGGTAACAAACTAAAACACAGCAGGACTTATGGTTTTTTGTTATTTTAGAACATGCAATCTTAATTTACCACACATTACCATATGGTAATGAAGCAAAACACAACAGATTCTACATCAGTTCAGCAACGCATGGAGAGTGACTGCGATACTGTTCTATTGTTCTGTGGATGGATTTCGAAGAAAGAAGTGAGGTTTTACATTGATATTTTGTGCGAAAATGATTTTTGAGCCTCGTTGAAGTTGGAAACTCTTCGTTTTTCGACGAAGAAGCGAGAACAGTGTATCGTTGAATGATTCTTCGAAAACCTTTGCGAAAATCGTTCGATTTGAAGTTTTTTCTGGAAGTTTTTGCTGCGATTTTGGTGAGAGAATTGAGAATCGGGAGGAAGAATGGAGAGTTAGAGAGCAGAGAGGGAAGTGGAACTGTCGCTTGAAAGGTGAGAGGAAGAAGGAGAGAAGGCGGGACGGTTGTCGCTGTCACGTCTGCAATTCAAATTGTCAGAGACGTGATTACGTTTTTGCCCCCGCGTGTATTTTAACTGGCATGATCTGACGGCTGGGAAGATGGCGCGATGGACGGCCGGATCATCGGTTACTGACCGTTACTGATAGGTCGGTTACTGATAGGATCCGGACCCCTATCTTCCTTCTTCTTCCTCCTTCTTCCCCAACCTTGAACCATCGATTCTCCATAATCTCCGGAATCGAAATTCGCCTCTTCGTGTCCACCACCGGAAGCCTGGAAATTATGGAAATCCAACAGACTCAATGGTGTCCTGACTTGGTAAGTAGGCTGATTTTGTTCATTCAATCATTTACTCCTACTGCTTCGTTTCCTACTCCTGTGTTGTAATCAAAGATTTTTCTGTATTTGTGTCGCAAAGTAGGGAATGGAAGACCCATCTTTCAATTACTACCCAGGTTTCGACTGCTACTCGTTAGACGGCTTCGATTTCGACCACGACACCATTCCTCTGGCCATCCCTCAAAGCTACCAAATCTCGGTTCACGACCAGACCAGGCCTGCCAAACTTCCCAAACACCAACTTACCATTACCAACCAATGCTCCAAAGCTTCTTCCCCCTATTCTTGCGTCATCTCTTTCGAAAGCTCCACCGATTCCCTCCAAAACCCTACGACGAGAATCGGTGGTGGACACGAAGAGGCGAATTTCGATTCCGGAGATTATGGAGAATCGATGGTTCAAGGTTGGGGAAGAAGGAGGAAGAAGAAGGAAGATAGGGTTTGTTTGGGTTTGATCGAAAAGGAAAGAAGGTGAGGGGATAAGGTGGGGATGGGTGGGCCAAAAGTTTTTGTTTTTGTTTTTTTTTAATTATTCAATTTTGTAAATGAAATAAAAAAATGAAATTATAATTTTTTAATGCTGACATGGCAGTGAACTGGACAGTTGACTAACGGTCAAAGGTGTTGACCGTCCAAACAAACGGTCAAACCACGTTCCAGGCCAATTTTGTCTATATGCTGCATAGTTCGGGCCAGGATGTTAATTTCTCAAACCACTGGCCAAAGTTGATTACATGGTCATAGTTCAGGCCATAACAAGGTATTAACCCTAATATATAATAATATTTTCACCCTAGCACATGGAAATTACTCTTTAGTCTTTACTCTTTAGGCGAAAAAGCTAAAGGACAATGTTAAATTGGTAATGCAAGATATGGAATTAAGTGAATGTTAGAGGACTGGAATCGATATTTCACCAATCCACAGGAAAAGACAAGTCGAGTGTATTATTAACCTCTTTTATAATTCAGGAGCAGACTTCTGGCCGAATAAGCTTTGCAAATTGCAAGCTCACGAAGGCCAGCCAGCCAGACAGCAGCATCACCATAAAGAAATTCCGCATCTTCCCACGGAACCCAACCCAACCCAAATCCAATTCTTAATTCAATTTAAAAAATTACCAACTTTCCCCCTCCCCAGTTTCATCGATCCTCCGGTACGTTCCTCGATTCTCAGATTTTCTTTTGTTTGTTCCTCTCTCAATTATTTGATTTCGCTTCTGGGTTCGTTTTAAACAGGAAATTCGAAATTATAGTTTGAAATTATGGGGCTCTATCTAATTCGTTTGTTTCCCACGGAAAGTGCTGATGCGAGATGGGGTGGATGTGAATTTGGGGCTGAATTTTAGTATTATTGGAACAGAGTTGTAATTTTTCATTTGTACTGTTCGGTTCCCTCTTCCTCAGAGTTGAGATACGAACGAAATCTAAAAGGGTTTCAGTGTTTGTTGGAGTAGAGCTTATATCTTGCCATGTGAAGCGGATTATGGTTGAATATACTTTGCAGGTTCAATTTTGTACAGATATCATTGTCGTTCAGGTTGTTTCATTGTGGTAGAGTTCTGCTTTGGATGAAGGGTTATGAAACTTGATTCAAGGAGTCAGTGGTGATTGTAAGTGTATCGTTGCTGATATTGATCCCTACTTACAGTGGTTTGCTACTCTTTGCAGGAGCATCAAAAGTTGGGTGTAGAAGTTTACATAGAGGACTTGAGCTTGGAACGGATAGACTTATAGTTACAGGATATGTATAGGGGTGTGCCTACGACAACGACCACACGAGGTGGATCACCCACAGGCAGTGGGGATTCTGTCGTGACTTTAGATCAAGTCCCTAAATGGAGCGATGTGGAGAGTAGGTCTACATTTGGCTATGAGAATGAAGATTCTTCAAATCCATTCTTCCCTGATCCTTTGACGTCGTCACCTGATGGGGATAACAGTGGGAATGGAATGGTGGCCAGGTTCCCTGTTGATCATGAAATTAACTCAAAGATACATCTGTGGAGAGGAAACCCATGGAATCTCGAGGTTGATGCTGTAGTGAATTCTACAAATGAGGTGAGTTAATACTAATTTTGGTAATATTTGAGCAGACCTTGTGGTCGTGTTTTTAAGCCATGGGAATAGTTGCTTTGATCCATAGCTTCGGAAGTAAAATTAGGATTGTGCAAGCTACTAGTTAACCTCTTCCTGCATTGATGATTACAGAATCTTGATGAAGCCCATAGTAGTCCCGGTCTGCATGCTGCAGCTGGACCTGGTCTTGCAGAAGAATGTGCGGCCCTGGTATATTCTCAATTGATTATTATGTGCATGGCCGTGTGTGCGATACAGAAACCTGAATTATATGATTTGAAGGGTGTGTTTCGATGATTTGTGCCAATTTTGCTATGTTTTAGTATTTGATAAGCAAGCACAGCTCTGCTACATGGGTTTGATAAGCTTGTCTTGAGAACGAGCAAGTTGCGCTGATAGTTTATGAGGCTTATGAAGATAGCAAGTCCGATAAGTAGTTCAATGTGTTTGATGTTAAAACTTTGGGAATGCTGACAGGGTGGATGCAGGACAGGAATGGCTAAAGTTACTTATGCATATGATCTTCCTGCTAGGTTTGTACATGCTCATCACACTACTAAGATTCACCCGGCTGTCCTTATTTTGGTTTAATTATTTCTTCCTTGATGTGCAGGAGAGTTATACATACTGTTGGTCCGAAGTATGCTGTGAAATATCACACCGCTGCAGAGAATGCGTTGAGTCACTGTTATATGGCTTGTCTTGAGTTACTTTTTGATAATGGGCTTCAAAGGTCATTCGCTGCTACTTTTTCTTTGTCATTTTTTGTGTAGGGTGTGAAGCATGGGACTAACTTCTGCTTGTGTTTTTATCAATGCAGTATTGCTATGGGTTGTATATATACAGAAGCTAAAAACTATCCTCGTGAACCTGCTGCACATGTTGCTATAAGTAAGAACTCTTCCCCAATGTCATTATCGTCTAATCAGTTCTTTTTTGCTTCAATACAATGGCAATGCACCTTCATCTGAAATAGTATGCACAGGGTGGACAGTAGATAGAACTGACCTGTTTTATTAATTATTTAAGCTGTTGCTCTCCTGGATACTATTGCTACTTTTTACGACTACCCAACTGAGTCTCTTTGCTTTCGTTTCAGGAACTGTCCGGCGTTTTCTCGAGAAGCAAAAGGATAAATTAACAGCAGTCGTGTTTTGTACCACCACCTCAACTGATACTGAAATATATAAAAGGTATATCAGCACTGGGATTCTCTTTATTGCTTTAGAATTGGCAAGTTTATGAATTTTCACACATGCGTATTGTAGACTGCTGCCACTCTACTTTCCTCGAGATAAACACGAGGAGGAGGTGGCCATGTCAAAGCTTCCTGCCGATGTTGGGGATGAGAATGGTGATACAGTAATAGATGAGCGTAAAATCAGAATAAAGCCTTTGCCCAAGAAAAATATTCCGAATCCTCCTGAAACTCCGGAAGATCTACCTGTTAGTGAAGTGGGTTTGGTGAGGAGGTCAGTTATTGTCACTTCAATAATGCATGTGACCTTATTTGTGTTTCTTCGTTGCTTTCACCTGCTTGTTCAGGTTCTTAATTTGTTGATTTGTGTGATAGAGAATGGACAATCTTTAGACCAAACATTTTGAACTCTTGAGTATATGCTCTATATTAGGTCTGAATTGTGAAGTACACAATTCAGATCTATGGATAAAGTGTTTTTGGTTGAGTTTTACAAAAAGTTGAGTAGATGGGTATGCGATATTTATGGTAAAAAAATTAAATGACGGGATGGTAGATAGGTTGTTTAAGAATATATTTTAAGTTCAAAAGGGCATAACTGAAATATATTATATAAGTGAGCTAGCTTCTAGATTGAAATTATTTATGGTATTTAGGGTGAATTGTTTTTGAAAAAGTGTGCTTGTTTTAGCTTCTCGGTCAACATTTTTTTTTTTTATGTTAATTAGTTTAGCCAAAAACAAATACGCCTTATATGTGCCATAACTTGGCTACTTGTGCTTATTTCCTGTACTTAGGCAAGGCGCCTAGAACATAGACAGGCATCGGACACCCAGATGCAAGAGCATTACATAAACTAAGGGCGGATTAGTGATTTGCCCATTTGAATTATTTAATGTATGTGATTCTCCATCCCAGATGTCCTTAATCCTGTGTTTCAACTTTGCAGAAACTCTACCTATTTGGATTCTTATTTAGATCCAGCATTCATGTCCTTAATAAAGGATCCGGATCAGAGACGAAGGGAGCAGTGGGAAAAAACTGCTCAAGCGCAAAGTGGATTTAACTGTGCCAAGATGCTTGGTTTTGGCGATCTTGGTGGTCCTCCATTGTCGGCTGCAGAAGAATATTCTTTGCATTCTCGATATCTTGCTAAAGCTAATTCTCTTAATCTCTCTGAAATTGCAGAGATGAAAATTGTGTAAGCATTTGGTCTGCTTGCTTATATATGCAACTTCTTACCACATGTCTGGTTGTTTGTTTATTGATTATTTGCTGTAAAATTTGGAGCTGAGATGCTCTAATTTCTGCTGCATCGTTTTAATGATTGGTAACCATGTGTTACTGGTTTGTGAAATTGGTAGTTGCTGGGTTCTAAGCGAGAAAGTTCACATTGTTTGAGCCTTTGCATCATACATCTGAATACCACTTATCTCTTTAAGTATCTTAGCTATTTTGTTTAGAATTCCTTTTCACAACTTCTTTTCACACAGGTCAGTTACTTTTCTGTTGCAGATACCGGGGTGGAGTGGACAGTGAAGGCCGTCCAGTAATGGTTGTTGTCGGAGCACACTTTTTGCTGAGATGCCTTGATCTCGAGAGATTTGTGCTTCATGTTATCAAGGTAATGAATCAGATATTCTCCTCCAGCGGGTTTTCCATCTCAATTCATCTTCTGCAGTTGTAAATGAGACCTAAAAAGAAAATCTGGAACTTGGTGAATATTTCAGGAATTTGAGCCAGTTATCCAGAAGCCATTTTCCATTGTCTATTTCCATTCTGCAGCATCTCTACAGATGTAAGTCACATGCACACCTTTGCTAAATGCGGTTTTTCATTTAACTTGATGTTCACCTTTGCTTGGCTTTAGGTGTTATTCCCCACCCACACAGCCCATTTCTGTCATTTGAATACCCAATTCTTTTCCATGGACAAGCTAAATTTTCATTTCGGTAAATAATACTGTAGCCAATGAGTAACCATACAGGCAACCAGACTTGGGTTTTATGAGAAGATTGCAGCAGATACTTGGTCGAAAACACGAGAGGAACCTCCATGTATGTCTCCCTTTCCTATTGTTCCAAGCAAACTAGTGTTTATGTTCTTCGACTTGATGTGTTATTGTTTGTTTCTATGTAGGAAATCTATGTTCTTCATCCTACATTGCATCTAAAAGCAGTAGTTTTGGCCATGCAAATTATGGTTGATAATGTGGTACGTCAGTTTTACTCTCTTCCCAGAACGTGATGCTGGTATCCCAAAGTTGCTTTTTGTTAACTTCATTCTGCAACTGATGATTCGCTAGACGTGGAAGAAAGTGGTATATGTGGATAGGCTTCTACAACTATTCAAATACGTCCCTCGAGAGCAGTTGACCATCCCCGACTTCGTCTTCCAGTTGAGACTCCCTCTTTATTTTGAACAAATCCATTAACCATTTAATCACAAACCTTCTTCCAAGTGAGTAATCTAAACCCCTTTGTTGCAGGCATGACTTGGAAGTGAACGGAGGGAAGGGTCTAATTGTAGATCCAAGAACGAAGTATGTGTATCAACGACCGTCTTAGGCGTCTCTGGAGTTACTATTCCATCTCAACCTGACGAAATTGACTCCCGAAAACTGCCGTCAGATGGTTGCTCCTTCTAGCCTGCTTGGCGAGCATCTCATTTTGTGTACAAAGTGTATCTGAAAATTTTTTTAACTGTTTTTCTGTGCTGGGCTTCTTCCTGGATTTGTTGTTATGAAATCATGGCAAGAGTAGCTTTAGTCTCTCAATTGTTTTATTCTATATCATATGGGGAAGAGATGGTGATTTTGTCTATGAAGTAAAGCAGAATAACAATGTTTAGTGTTTCTTTTTTGTATCATGATGGATTTTTCTCATAAATGAAAATGTGGTTTAAAGTAAACTGTAAGAACGGCTTTCCATTATGTTTGGTATTTTAGAAGTGCTTTTTTTTTTTTTTTTGGTTTCAAAAGATGAAGTTGAAGTTGGGCAAACACCTATATAAGCTACTTTTTTTAAAAAAGTACAAAAGTGTTTTACAATACAAGCAAAAAAAGTTGTTAATATTAAACTTATCATGGTTTAATATTCTTCAGAAAATATAAATTTCTTTTCATTTACATTTTATATAAAGAAAATAAATTTCAAAATTATTATTTAAAATACAAGAGATCTTAGAATTTTATTTTTTAAATTTTGTTCATGTTTTTATGTTAGAAATTCTTTTTGGGAACGATATTGATTCGCTTATTTGCAGGATCTTGTTAGGTAGTGTAAAAAAACCATAATAATCACCAGCTCGATGGCAAACTTGTGACCATTAAGCAACTTCAATTTTATGTCAAATAGCTAAGGCAACAGACTATGCCAGTCTTTTTGAATGAGCGTACAATATTTGAAGTAGGAAGTGAACTAGGAAGTGAACGTGATAGAAACACGTTTTCGTGATTCTATCATTATTATTATTATTATTATTATTATTATTATTATTATTATTATTATTATAAATAAGGATAATAGTCTTTTATTAGAATTAGGCTTATTATTAGGTTTTCCTATCTTTCTTATAAATATGTAATCTGGGTTTCATTATCAAGGAAAGAAGAACAATTATTCAGAAAGTATCTCTCTCAAAATCCTAATCCTCTATCTCCTAATTTCTCGATCCCAATCCCTCTATATTCTCTATCTTTCTCTTCTCAAAACACTAATTCTGTTCTTAATCCCTAAATTCCCAATTTCCAATTCCCGATAGAACCCTAATCTTTGGTTCTATCAATTGGTATCAGAGCCCGGTTGCGAAATCGAGTTCATCACAACTCTCAACCGGGACCATGGAAACCGAACGCGTTTATGAAGATTTCAACCCCAAGGTCACTAAACTAGTGAAGGATTCATACATCGAGTTGTTCTTCTCATTGTCGCGGTGGTTCAAGACGGCAAACGTTAAATCCTTGTCCAATATACTAACAGTCCACGGGGAACAACCATTGGATGAAGATGGTAGGTGGGGTCGCTTCGAAGCAAAGGTGAGACTCAATTCAGATTTTGACACCAACGAATTCTCGACTCGCTGGTTTAGCAGATACAGGCTGATTGTTCATATTCCCAAAATCCAAACTGCGATGGAGGAGAACGTCGCACCGTTCGAAGAACTGACCGCCGTTCCACCTGCTATTCAAATTTGGTCGACGACGGATGACGAAGAAGAAAGGTTGGCGGCGGCAACATCAGAGGCCAGCCTGGAAGCCCCTGCCTTACCTGCCGCAGCTCAGGAAAAGGATACTTCTGACACATCCGTTGCTATTACCGCTGATAAGAAAGAGGCGACCACCGAAAAAGGACCACCGGCTGTCGTGGAACCATCACCGATGGTCATCAACGTCACTACGCCGCCATCCCCTGTCTTTGACGACCCTGAACTAGGGATGCACATCGTGGCGGCACTGACGAGCAAGAACCCTAAAAGCGTCATCAGTGATGGTGGGAAGAGAATTCCAGTCTGCATCGCAAACAGAAGATTCAAGAAGAAAAGAAGACCAAAGCAGAAGGATCTGAAAACGATGGAGATGTTGGGTTGGCTTCCGTACCGGCATGCAGGCGGTTCACCGCCAGGGAAGGAGGAACCGGAGGCGGTGGTGGCGACGCGCAGCACGGCGCGGCAGGCCGAGGCGCTGGCCCGACTGGCGCCGGCGAGAGCGCGGAGGCAAGAGGCGTCGCTGGACGAGGCGGTTGACGGCAGGACGGCGTGGGCGCAGGAGGACGGCGGCCGCGGTGAGGCGCTACGAGCGGTGCCGATCGACCAGGAGGATACGCCGGCTGCGCGGCGGTGTGCATCGCCGAACTCGGCGGCGAAGGGTGGCAAGGTGATGGGGTCGACGGTGGCGGGCGGCGCGACGAGGGGTGAGAAGGAGGAAATTGGCGGTTGCAGATTCTTTTTCCTCACAACCCTAGAGCCGCAGCTCCCATTGGGCTGCTCGGTAACATGGGCCGAATCGGAGTTAGTTTTTGGGCCTGATGAATTAGTGGGCCGGGAGGCAATTGAGAGTGGTTTGTGGAGGCCTGCTGAGGATGATAAGCGAACTGAAGCTATGGTGGATGGAGTGGGCCAGGTCGGCCTGGGTTGCGAGCCGACAAAGAAGAAGGTGATTTCTGGGTTTGATTCGGGTCGAGAGAAGCAGCAGGGTGAGCCGATTTTCGGGCCGCTGCCAAGAAATAAGTGGGCAGAGAGAGAGAGAGTGGTGGGCCGACTCAAGATGGACTTGGGCTGAAGAATGGTTGTCTTGTTAGATGTCTTCTTAACAGATTTGGGCCGGACCCAACTGAGGAAATGAAGGCTGCTGGAGTCATCCTGGGGCCGACAGATCAGTTGAGCAAGCAAAGTTTAAGAGTTCATGGGTTTAGATGATGGGCTCCAAGAAGAAGAACTCTATGATTCTTATTTTGTAGAGTTTGAGGAGGATAAAGGGTTAGGGATGGCAATTACCCACCCATGGGTAATTATACCCAAACTCAAGTAGACCCATTGATAATGGGTTGGGTATGGGTGAAGTGCATATGGGTTTGGGGGGTTTGTAGATGGGTTTGGGTAAGGTATTAATATTGCTTCCATAATCTAAATGGGTATGGGTTGGATATGGATATCCATTTACTTGAGGGTGTTTTAACTACACATGCAAAAATTGCATAGTCCATGAAACCGTACCGTACCGGCGGTTCAACCACAAAATACCAGTATCGGAGGCTAAACCGATAGACGGTATTTAACAGTACTAATGGTTGAACTACGGTTGAACGACGGTTTTGTCATAAAATACCCTACCGCTGACTTTTCCGGTACGTTTTCATGGACCATGAAAAATTGGACCTATTTGTAAAACTTGAAAATTTTAGGTATCAAAATGTAAGACCAAAAAAATTTAGGTACCAAAACGTAATTTTCCATCGATATTTTGAGGACTTATATGCAAAAAAATTAAATTTAGGTACTAAATATGCATATCTATTAAGTTTAGGTACCAAATTGTAATTTGTATTTGGGCATGGGTACAAACCCAAATCCATTTGTTATAAACCCAACCCAACCCAAAGTAAATGGGTATGGGTACAAACCAATCAAACTCTACCCATATCCATCTATTTGGTTTTCATACCCAACCCAATTGGGTTGGATAGTTAAAAATCCATGGGTATGTGCAAAATTGCCATCCCTATAAAGGGTCATTTGTCCATGGTTGCCATTTGAGCCACGTGGATTGGGAAGAGGCCATTGGAGTCGGAGTAACGGGAGTGGACTTCATTCGAGTAGTGGAGCACAATTGGAAGAAAAGGAAGCGTAAGAAATGGAGGAGTCGACCGCGGATTGTGCGAGAAAAAAGGGAAGAGTGGGTCAAGTTGATCAACCTTGAGGGCAAGGATGGTATCAAGGGGGAGGAGATGATAGAAACACGTTTTCGTGATTCTATCATAGTTATTATTATGGCAAAGGCTAGTGTACGCCTGACGTACGCTATATGCCTGTGTTCACACTTGATAAATAATTATTTAATATTTTTGATTTAATTATGAGTAGATTGATTATTAGTAATAATTAGAATTACTAATATATTACCTTAATTTCCCCAACCCAATATATTACCTTAATTTCCCAACTCTTCTTCTCCGGTGTCTAAAGACAGCGGTGCGCTGCACAAGGGAGAGGCAGAGAGCAGAGGCATCGGAGATGAACCCCAATTCCAGTCCGATCACAGTCCACCTCTTACCTTATTTTCCGATAACGATGGGGTGGCGCCTACAGTCTACAGAGGGCCGGCAATGCACCTCCATACTCGGCTGCAGAGGCATCCCGATTGAACCCCAATTCCAATCCGAATGCAATCCACCTCCATACTCGGCTCCCAATTAACTATTATGGTTACCATCAAATTAATTTAATGCCTCCCAGTTCACTATTAATGAATATGCTCTGTGAAACCCAACTTCCATGTTCTTTTTTCACTCTGTTTACCCTGAACAGAACCGTGGCCAAGCGGGATCCACACCAAGACTAGAACAGGAGGCAACATATTTATTTCATTTGGGTTTGTTCTTGAATCCTTTGACGCCCTCTCACCAAAATCTTTAGGCTCTGTAGTTCGAGGCAGAGGCGAACGGTTGCGATTAGGAGAGGCTGAGGATCTAGCAGCAGAGGAGGATTGGCGGAGGGAGAGCAGGATCGTTTTATGGGGAAAGAGGTGAAGGAGAGCCCCGGTTGCCGGAGGGATAGGATTACCGAAGGGAAAGAGGTAGAGGAAAGGGCACCGGTGCTCCACAGAGGTTTGTTTGGTTTAGGATTGGAGCTAATAATTATGGTTGGACTAAAACGTACACAATATTTTTTTAAGGATCGGATTGTAATTATAATTATTTATTAAAATTAATTTAATTATAAATAATTTATTTATATATAAAATTAATTTATTAGTGTGAACGCAGGCGTATAGCGTACATCTGTCGTATGCAAGCCTGAACCTTATTATTATTATTATTATTATTATTATTATTAGGATATTTATAAATAAGGATAATAGTCTTTTATTAGAATTAGGTTATATTATTAGGTTTTCCTATCTTTCCTATAAATATGTAATCTGGGTTTCATTATCAAGGAAGGAAAGAACAATTATTCATAAAGTATCTCTTCCAAAACCCTAATCCTCTATCTCGTACTTTCTCGATCCCAATCCCTATATAGGCCTAGGCCGATTCTTTATCTTTCTCTTCTCAAAACCCTAATTATGTTCTTAATCCCTAAATTCCCAATTCCCGATAGAACCCTAATCTCAGATTCTATCAGAACGACAACGTGGACTCATTTGTTGGAAGTCACTACAACAAGCTTGAGGGGTCATTTTTTTTAATGAAAAATAGAGCATTATAACCAAGTAGGATACATTATATTTTTTTAGCTTGAGGGGCCTAAACATAGACGGAATGGTTGTACAAATCAATGCCTCCTTGCTTTATATCAAGAGGTTCATATAGAGTATGTTTCTAGAGAGACAAACTTTTTTTTTTGTCATAGAAACCCTTGCGGATTAACTAGGTAAGCACGAGATAGCCACAATACAACGGCTCCTTCGTGAAATGATAGTCAAAACAAATAAGAACAATTAAAACGAACACTACAAGAGCCAGAGTAGCATAAGGCATTACGTGCCACAACATATAGAGTATGTTTCTAGAGAGACAAACTTTTTTTTTGTCATAGAAACCCTTGCGGATTAACTAGGTAAGCACGAGATAGCCACAATACAACGGCTCCTTCGTGAAATGATAGTCAAAGCAAATAAGAACAATTAAAACGAACACTACAAGAGCCAGAGTAGCATAAGGCATTACGTGCCACAACATGGGCAGCCCGATTCGCTTCTCTAGGAGTAAAAGCAACAGAAACCAATGGCAATTCTTGCAACATAAAGATGACTTCTCGTAAGATAGCCCCCACAAGGGCATCATTGGCATTAGAAGCCTTCAAAAGCTGTACAACTGCAAGAGCATCACTTGTAATCACAATCGGTCGATCCTGCCACTGCCATTGTCGAAGTAGTAATATAGCTTCTCTAATTGCCAACACCTCCATGATCTTAGGATGAAAAATGCCTGGAAAGAAACCACCCATTGCAAAAACTGGCACATTCTGATCCAAACCCACCACGCCAATTGCGCCATGAGTCGGAGCACTTGTCGCCCCGTCAACTGCAATGCGAAAAGTAGATTGAAGCGTCGAACGAGGATAAGGTTGAGGTCTGGGTGGCGGCGACTGATTGGGTAGGATGGCAATCTGATGCGAGGCATGATGAGATAATAGGTGACGGTACAAGGCATCATTGGTTAATTGTGCATAGGGTGGAAAGACAACATTATTCCGCCCTTTCCAAATCCGCCAAAAAAAGAGGACCCAATTTATTATGGTGGCATGATCGGACAGAATGATGTGTCTTAAAAAGATGGACAAATGTGTGCTTGAAAAAATTCCCGGAGGCAGATGTAAACCACACCGTTGACGGAAATCTACTGCCACACGACACGCAAGGAATAAATGTTCCAGCGATTCGCCTTCATCTGAACCACAAACAGGGCATGAATCTTCTACCTGCACCCCATGTCGGGCAAGATCCTCCCTAACCGGAAGGATTCTTAGTAAAATCCGCCAAAGGAAAAACTTCAATTTGGGAGCAAGAGGAAGACCCCAAAGTCGAGGCCATAGCGCAGTATCAAGAGGTGAAGCCTGGTCCACACTACCACGAGCCCTTGAAACTGGAGGCAAACTAGTCGCCAACCGATAAGCTGACTTAACTGTAAATAAACCATGTGGATCAAAATGCTAAATTAATTTATCTGGGCAAAGGAGTCGTGGCAAAGGTATGGAAATGATACTCTTAATGGAATCCTGTGTGAAGAACTCTCCAAGTCGGTGAAGATCCCAAGAACGACTAACGGGAGAGATGAAGTAGGAGATTAACCGAGGCGACCGATCTGCAGTCGGCAGCACTACTGGTCGAAAACTTGGAAGAGATGGAACCCAAGGATCCGTCAAAGCATCAATTGAAGATCATACACCAACCTCCCAACGCAAACCGCGGCTTAGCAATGTCCGGCCATGAAGAAGTGATTGCCATGCCCAAGAAGAATTAGAACCCACACCGGCATTCAAGAAACTCGTATGATGGAAGTGTCGTCCTTTTAAAACCCACGCAACTAGAGAATTGGGATCTTGTAAAATGCACCAGCACTGCTTGGCAAGTAGCGCTTGATTAAGAGCCTCAAAATCCCGGAAGCCCAAACCACCATCCCCTTTTGGTTTACACAACTTTCTCCAAGATACCCAAGGCAAACGTCTTTCAGTCCCTTGTTGACCCCACCAAAACCGTGAAATCATACGATTTAAAGTCCGACAGAGCTCTTTGGAAGTCGAAAACATGACATAGCATAAACAGGTAGGGCCGACACGACTGACTTAATCAGAACTTCCAACCCTGCTGGCGATAAACAATGTCGTTTCCAACCTTGGAGACGCTTAGCAACCGCTTCCTCAATGAATCGGAAAGTATCCCGCTTTGAACGATGGATGATGGAAGGAAGTCCAAGGTATCGATCACGTGTCCCAATGGCACCAACTTGCAGTGTGTTCCCAAATTGCGTCGCCTCTTGCGTTGTGGTATTTTTATAGAACACCACTGCTGATTTCGCTAGATTAACCCGCTAGCCACTCATCCGTTCATAACGACGAAGCAGATCCAGCAATCGTTGACATTCGATCGGAGAAATCCGGAGAAAAAGATAAGCATCATCCGCAAAAAATAAATGTGAGAGCACCGGACAATGACTATTAAGACGGATACCCTTTAACTCAGCACTGGTAATGGATTGCAGCAGCAAAGCTGAAAACCCCTCCGTACAAATAGCAAAAAGTAATGGTGATAGAGGATCCCCTTGACGTAAACCACGAGATGGCCAAAAATACCCGTAAGAGGCGCCATTGAGAAGAACCGAAATGGAGGTCGTGGAAAGACAATTGTGGAGAAGCTCAATTACACGAGGTGCAAAACCGAATTTTTCCATTAAGCGAAAAAGGTAGGGCCATTCAATCCGATCATAAGCCTTCTCCATATCAAGCTTTAGCGCCATAAAACGATCGTAGTCAGTACATTTATTACGTAGGTACGTCATAACCTCTTACTAAGAATGACATTATCAACAATCGAGCGATCCTTTACGAAGCCATTTTGATAGGTGGAGATAACTTGAGGTAACACTTGCCCAAGACGAGTAGCGATGATTTTGGAAATAAGTTTGTAGAATACTTGGCACAAACCAATAGGCCGCAACTGCGCACATGTTTTCACTTGAGGCACCTTTGGAATTAGAGTAAGCCAGGTATGATTAAAGGATTGTAATAAATGCCCAGTACGGAAAAAGGATTTCACCGCCGCGCATACGTCGCAACCCACTAAGTCCCAAAAGTGTTGGAAAAACAGAGCCGTGAACCCGTCCGAACCCGGAGCCTTGGAAGAGCCAATCTGGAATAAAGTATGTCGAATTTCAGAATTAAGAACTGGTGCAAGTAGAGCCTCATTCATAGCAGGCGTGACTTTGGGCTGCAAGGGCAAAATATCCACCGCAGAATTAATGTCAGCAGGAGAAGTTTCCGAAGTAAACAGGGTTGAGAAGTGCGTTACCGAGACCACACACTTTTCTTGCTCATCGTCAACAATTGTACCAGTAGGAGTGCGAAGAGAGGACACAAAGTTTCGAGCACGACGGGTTTGAGTGACCCTATGGAAATAATTAGTATTTCGGTCCCCATCCTGCAACCAGTTAACACGCGATCGTTGTTGCCAATAAGCCTCCTCTTGCTCCCAAGCAATGGTAAGATCTCGTTCCAACAATCGAATGTAGTCCCAATTCCGAATTGGCATCGCCCGTTGCGTACGAATAGCTTGGGTAAGATCATGAATTTGCCGACGAGAGTTCGAACATCCACCCAACGTCCATTGAAAAAGAGCATGACACACACGTTTTAGTTTGATATGAAGGCAGTATATAGGGGATCCCGAAACAGGAATGTTCCAATAATAGTCGATAATAAGACGAGCCTCCGGATTATTAGTCCAACGATTGTCAAAACGGAAGAGTTTCTTGTGCTTCACAGCCAGCCGACGACATCGCCATAAAATCATACGGTGATCGGATCCCATGTCCGACAAATGCAAGATAATGGAATCAGGAAAAATATTGACTGCCTCCGCCGAAAAAAGAAATCTATCCAGCCTTGTTTCAATTAGAGAGACAAACTTTGAAGTAGATTACTTAGTGTTGACTCATGGTTGTCACGTCGGCCGGCATGCTACTGGTTGAACCTGGTTCAACCTGTACCAGTCATAAAACCGACATGACACTATCGATATGATCGGCATGATCGATATACGAATCTCTAAGTACGAACCATTTTAAAAATCTCAGTGATCAATCTTGCAATTTGCCCGCCAAATTGAAATTCCACAAATTAGTAATATTTAATACACAAAGTTTAAGACACCGTTAAGCGTCCACTTGTCAACATCTCGTTGGGCGGCACAACGGTTCATAATAGACCCGTATGCACAGAATCGAAATCCAAGTTCCGTTTCCCGGCTCAGGTAATATCTCTGTTTTTCTAATCTCTCCCAAAATTTTGCGAAGCAGACCAAGGCAACGATTCTCTTGATTACGACCGGCGGTTATCATCTACCCTCCGGCAGCTTCCCGGTGAGTTCTTCCGGTTTGACGAACAAAAGTAAATTAGCGTTATCTTTGTTCGCAGCCTTTGTCCAATAAAGGGACTGAACTTGTATCGCGATTGAGTTGGCAGTGTTTGGTTCTCAAGAAATTTTTTGATGTTTATCGCAATTGTTTCAGTAAGCTAGAGGCAGAAAATGAAAGGAATTTCCAACTCTCGTCTGAGTTTTTCATGTGTTTGGTTGATTGAGAAGCTTCATAATTCCTCCCATTTTCGGTTGCTGGGTAAGCCAGGTATGCTTCGAGGGCAAGGTCTGTCATTGAGTACTCTAACAACGTACGGTAACTGTGGGATTGCTGCATCAATTCCATCTTGGAGGAGACAATTAAGCGTAGTATGGAAGACCCATATGGATTCTGGAACCCGTCCCAACTGGCCTTTGAGCTGGGATGTTCAAGGCTTGGTCTCTGTGGGTAACCCCAATGTATTGGGGAGAAGGAGCTTGAGAGTTGAAGCTGGATGGCTTTTCGGTAAGAGTACCGGGAACGAAGAAGACTCCGGTGCAAGCATTGAGGGTAGTGAGAGTGCGAATGAAGACATTCTGATTTTCTTTTTCCAGCTCGATCTGGCAACTCGTGTCCAGGTTTGTCTGAGTCTTTTTCTTTGTTTTATGTAGGGGGCTTTCAACTTTGACTTTCATTTGATCGCTATGTTAGATTTCATGGTTCTGGTTGTACGTTGTGGGTGTTTGCAGTGTGCTCTGAATATGGAACAGTATGACATTGCAAATCAGCTGCGGAACAAGCTTACTGAGGTCGGTTCTGGTTTAATGACTGTCCTGGTGCTGTTTTGTTCTTTTCAAGTTGATTTGGCATGTCCTAAGATTATGCTAATCACTGTGCCTATAGTTGGAAGTCAATGTTCATTTGCATTGACTAGATGGCCAGAGTTCTATCTTGAATCCTAGCAGGTTGCTGAATAGTTTTCCCTTTTTTCAAAAGGTTGAAGAAGAGATTATGAAGCAGAAGGAAACTAAAAGAGGTTCATCCTCAAAGAGTGAAGCTCAAGAGAAAGCTATAAATATAATAAGACTACGGTGGGGGCTATAAATGCAAACCCTCCTTTGATACTTCTGCTCTTAAGCCATGGTAGCTCAACTTATTGCTGCTGGTTTCCTGCATTGCTTCATTTCTTGCAGAGCTGACCTACAGAACGCAATTGAGAAAGAAGATTATGCTTTGGCAGCTGAGTTTCGGGATCGGATTTCTAAACTGGAAAAGGAATCTCTGGCTGTATCTGCAGAAGCTCTGGCATATGCAAATGTGGAATATGGATTTCGTTTAGGGCAGAAAGTGAAGCACAAAATCTTTGGTATTATAAGCTTTTCTTTCTCAGCATTTTCTTAAGGTCTCCTTTTGGTGTCAGCTATTTTCAGAATTTTCTGCATACAATAAATGTGAACTCCCTTCTTAATCCATAGAGGAGCCTTGAGGATATTCATCACAAATCATTTGTACATTCAGTTTCTGGATTTTCTCAGGACGTTGACTGCAACACCGGTAACAGAACTATCATCATGTTAAAAATATACTTGTCTTATGATGCCCTCCCTACTAAATCTGCAGGTTATAGAGGTGTGATTTGTGGGATGGATCCTGTTTGCTGTGAATCAAGTTCATGGATGGAAGCTGCACAGATTCAGAAGATGGATCGAGGTCCTAATCAGCCCTTTTACCAGGTTTTGCTTTCTGTTGCTGCTTTGTTCCAATTGCCGTTAACAATGGGAATACATGCATTTCACAGCTAATTTTTGAGCATTTCTTCACAGCTTTTGGTCGATGTGCAAGCAGATCCAAATTTACTAGTGACATATGGTAATCAAATTTGAAAATATCTTATAGTTAGTATGAAGTCTCGTGATAATTGATGGCTGGTATTTTTTTACTCTTGCTGCAGTTGCTGAGGACAATTTGGAAGCTCCAGAGAAACCTGACTTGGTGAGTTGGAAACTGTTCGGTGGAAAACATGAAATAAAGCCCCCTTTTTAAGCTGTGACTTCAAATTTGCTATGCTTTTTACACTATTGGTGCAGGCAAGGTTTGACCATCCCTATACATCCTTCTTATTCTATGGAGTGGATACAGCAGGAGACTTCATCCCCATCAAACAACTGCGCGAGAAATTCAATCGGCCACGCCATGAATTGCCCATGGACCCATCAGATGAGAACTCTGGAGGGGGCAAACCCTAAATGGTGTTAAAAGCTGCTGATTTCTGCTTCCGGTGAGATTTGGGTCCATCTGTGCTTATTATGGGTTTCGGTTATTATACTGCCCCAAGTGAAGCTGTAAGCAGGGTTCGAAACTGCCAGATCACCCTCCTCATGTGAGTTCAGCCATTGGATCGATGCAGGTGGTATTATTTACAAACTTGCCACCGCGTCGATCCAACGATCTGAGGTGTTAGCATATATGTTTAAAGGGGAGGTGAATGAAGTGTCATGGCATTCTCATCTTTGAAACTTTTTTTGTGTTTCCAGGTACTTGGATGGGCCTCTAATTGTATGTTGTGGACTGCAGATTCTATCCAGTTAGCAGCATCTACTGTTCGTACATAACTCTTGTAGATTAATGCAGTAACTGTTTTGATTACCCTCTCCCGAATGATTTCACTTCATTCTATAAACGCTTGAAAGATACCGATGTATCAATCCATGGGTGACTTTCTCAGCTCCACCCAGGGGCGGAACCAGGGGACACCTCTAAATTTTGGGAAAATGATTATCCAACCCCGGTGGTAATTTACGTATAAACAAAAAAAATAGAATACATAGTGAGGGACACCCCTGAAATTTGAAAAAATGATTATCCTACTGTCATTTGTGTAAAAAAAAATATAAATGGTAGGTTGGGTAATTCAAATCTAGAACACTATTATTATTAATAAACTTAATTTCCGTTGAGCTACAACTCATTTGTTGTTCGATTTTGAACAATGTGTAATAGTAAAAAGTCATTTCCTATCTCTAATTATTTCAATCTAAACTAATTTCAATCTACCCTTAATTTGTATTGATTTTATGATTGTACTACAAGTGTTGAAGAGTCTTTCAGCTTTGGGTTACATTAAGAATAAGTTTACAAATCGAATATGCGATAAGTTTCTGAATGATTGTCTAGTAGGGTATATAGAGAATTTTTTTTAACACTATAAACACCAAGTGTATTCTACAATTATTTTCGAATATGAAAACACATCATGAACTTTTTTAACCTGTACGAGTAAGGTATTTTCATATTTACGATTTTATTTTTATTAATTATTTTTATTTTTATTTAAACTTTTTAAAAGATGACACCTCTATGGAAAATTTTTGGGTCAGCCAGTGAGCACCTTCAGATAACGTCAACCGTTCCTGAGTTCATCATCCGGATTCATAACTTTGAAATGGTCCAGCCCTAAGTACTGATGATGACAGCAGATAGACTTTTGTTATTGAAAGGGTCTGAATAGTTATGGGAAATGTGACGCACGGACATCTGTTGTTTCCATAATGTTAACTGTTGAAGTCAGGTTCCAAGAGGTGATTCGTAGCGTGTCATATAGACACCGGGAATCTGCAATTCAAGCTTTCTTGGGGTCTTGGCTAACAGAACCAACTGATAGCAGTTTCGTGACTCTCAGCAGATGATGAGCCCCTAATAGTGGAAGAACAGTACTATAATTCTATACTAGTTAGGGCACGCAGTAAGTTTGCTGGGACAGGTGGGTGATTGGTGACGGAGAAAAAACAAAATATCAAATCGATGAAGATTGCAGCTTGGGCAATCTTCGTACATAAGATAACAAATCGGAGGGACAAACTATTTGCTTTTAGTTTATGGACCAATGTGACATACATAAGATACTATGGGGAGGCGTTTGGGCTATGACAATTATCTTTTAATTTTGGTCTTATACTATTAGGAAACTAGCATGGGTCCCGGCCATTTGGCCGGAGGAAGATAAGGTATGAAATTTGATAATGTAATGAGGTGTATAATTTATTGTTGTATATTTTTTTTTTGGGAAATACGTGATAAAATAGTGAATTTTAGTAGGAAAGCGACATGAATTATGTAACGAATCAAAAATTAGCCTTATGAACCAGAAAATCGAATAAAAAATCACCTATCCCGCCGATTTTCGGGAAATGAGCATCTCACAATCGTTGCTAGCTTTTACTCGTCCCGTTGGCCGATTAATTTGCTTCATAACGGGCCAAAACTTGAAATTCAGCCTGTTTGACCGACCCATGCCAAACTCTAAGTATTCTTTACTTTTAAACTTTCTATTTGAAAATAAAAAATAATGAAAGAAAAGAGATGACTGCAATTCGCCATTTGCACATCACTGATTCGGGGAATAAAACTATAGAATTTCGAAAGAAAACTAAAAATGTGTAGGATCGTTTTAATGTTAAAAATAACCAAATAGATCTTTCTGTTTAGTTATTTACTAACAAATACCAAACGATTCCCTATAATATACACTATAATTTAATTATTATGATATCAAATAATTACATAATATATATTTGAAATGATAAAAATTGGACTAATTGGGTTGGTCGAGGTTGAATCATTGAATAACTTTAAAATACATTATATTTTAGCCACTAAGATATAAAATAATAGCATAATATATATTATGCTAGAGAAAATAGATTGTTTTAGAATGACAAACCCATGATGTTCATTTGGTTTACTTGATGGGCAAATCCCGTGTAGGTCAGGCCCATTCAACTCTTTTATTTTATGATTAGCGGTTAGCCCATTAGAATCCATGCATTAGTTTATTGTTAATTTGTTTCTTTTTAGCAATAAAAAGGAGTATTGTTTTTTCCTTTTCATATATATTTTACCACCACGGAGAAATAAAAGGACTTAAAGAAAAAAATTGATACTCCTGGACTCGTTTAAATCTGCATGTGTACGGTAAGTTGGCCCGTTCCACAGAGGAAAAAGAAAAAAATTGACACTCTCTATTCTACCCTTCCTACAAACGCTCCTGGAGCAGAGAATTTGAAATGGGGGAAGGGTTGTTTCCTCTCTGCGATTATATGTTTTTAGTTTAAAAAGATACAACAAATGTACTTAGTGTGATTGGTTATGATCTTTGCTTTTGTTTAAAGTGGTCATGGTTCGAATCCTAGTAAGTGTCTTTTTAATGAATAAAAAAAAGTAATTGTGAAGACCAAAATGTCCTTCCTACTTTCACTCTGAATGCAGGAAATTTGAAATGGGGCTTCAAGTTTTCTCATTTGGCTTTTATTTATTGTGTAGATCCGTATTATCAAGAAATGAAGTATTTTTTTGTTAATATTGACTGGTTTGATTGTCAATATTTAACAAAAAATTCAATCAATGTCGACGTGGCATTTGATATGGAATTTTAAATATTTATATTTATTTATATTTTCATCTATATTATTAAAATAAGAAAAATAAAAAGTTACCAAAATTCCCAAATCCTCTTTATCGCTTAGTCAATTCCGATCCTAAGTCAACATCTAGTAGATCACAGTTTGGCAACTGTTATCAATAACGGTTAACAAAATTGTTAGGATATAAATGACACACAACTATCTAGGGCTGGGAAACGGTGCGGTCTGGTCCAGACCAGACCATATATACGGTCTACGGTCCAGACCGAGAGGCTAAAGTATAGACCACAGACCATACGGTCTGGTCCAGACCACGCCTGTGCGGTCTGGTTCTGTCTGGTCTGGTCCAGATAGACCACACTCAACGAAAAATGAATAATTTATTTAGTCAACCACACAAAAAATTGAACCAATAACCAAGAAAAATAATTGTTATTTGCTTTAAAACATTAATCCTAACATGCATGAATAATTTTGATACTCTAAATCTTAGTACATAACAAAGATACAAAGTAAAAGCATCCCAACTTGCACCATAATGTCATAAACATTAACATAATGTCATATGGAGACACGATTATCTCTACTCTGTGGTTAAATGTGGTTGTGAATGAAGGAGGGAAGAGATTCACAAAATTAAGGTTGAGACTTGGGTGTCGTTGTGGGAGTTTGGAGAGTGGTCGAATGGGCTGTTAACACGTATTGACAAGTCAGTTGGGTCTACGGTTTGGTCCGGTAAACCGCGATCTAGACCAGACCAGACCAAGAGATCAAATCATAAAATAATACAGACCATGGACCAGACCAGACCAGACCATACTTCACGGTCTACGGTCCGGACCAAACTGTGCGGAACGGTTTGGACCACGGTTTTTCTAACGGTCTGGTCTATTTTCCCAGCCCTACAACTATCATACTTTGGGAGATAAATGGAATATTAAATAGTTCGGGACAAAAATGACACTTTCTTTATAGTTCGGGTTTTCTAGTGGTATTAGCCATTTAATTTTCAAGAAGGAAAATGCTTTTAACAAACCAAAGGTAGAAGAGTATCATACAATAGAATCACGATCAGCGGGGCGCCGTTTCAACCAACAAATCTTACCTCCGAACCGCAGTTCAGTGCCACCTTCCATGCCTGCAGGATTCATGCTGGTTCACTTTGACGGTGCCACAAAAGAATCATTAGGGGGTGCAATTAGATTTGCAGGCTTCTCAGAGCAACGTGCGATTTTTTTCGCTTATGGTCATTTCTTTGCGGAAACTTCTAACCCTTTCCTCTTGGAGTTAATGATGCTTCGAGACGCCATGAGTTGGTGTCTTTCACATTCCATAACTAATGTATTATTCTATGGTGATTCGCAGGTCGTGATCCGGATGGTCTCAGCGAATGACTCGTCTCACGCTTTGGGGGTGCCATTCTGAAAGAGGTTCAGGAGTTGCGAACATCTCTCGCGCGTGTTTTGTTTCACTTTGCTCTCCGTAGGTATAACAGGGTTGCTCATACCGTGCAAGAAAAGCCCTTTCATCAATGGTTTAGCAACTGGTTGACTATCGTTTTGCACTTTTTTCTTTATCCTTACCTTTCATGGTCTTGTATATTCTCGTATCTTGCTATTTCTTCCGAAATATCTTTGGGGAAAAAAAAATCTTACAGAAGACACACGGATGAGGATTTATCAACTACTACTAGCAGCTCAGCGAAGACCTGAGATGGCCCATAAGATTGCTGAACGGTTTGGCACATTGATCTGGGTTGAACCTAGAGAAAATAAAAGCAAGGAATGACCAAGTGAGACTAGAAAAAACAGCAGACAAAGACAGAGGACGATACCCTCTCAAGGAAGACATCAGAAACTATGCTACAAGTTCCACATAATGAAAACATGGTCTTCAGTATAGGAAGAATTGACACAAAATTGGACCAGAAAAATAAATCTGGAGGCTGGCAAAGAGATAAACAAATAATAGGCAAAAAAAAAAAACCGAATGTATCACAAGTGCAGCTCACGCCACAAAAGCAAAGTTTTGGAGGGGCAAAGGATTTGGTTAATCGAGAACCGAGTGGAAGGTGGGCAATGGGACAATGGTACAAATATGGGAACACAAATGGTTAATGGATGAAGGTAATCAAAGAATAACGGACTTCCTGAACGCAAAAGATCCCTAACTGAGTATTTTGACATGAATGTAGTAAAAAACGTGTTTTGAAAGTGTTTTGGTGATTTAAAAATATAAAATCATAAGTTTTTAAACTTTAAAGTGTGTTTTAAACTATATTAGTTATATCGTTCCCCTAAGTTCTCTCTTGTTTGAATTTGCTCTCTCCTCTCTCTAGCTTCCATATTCTACTCGCCAGGAGAGCCGCCGGTTTCATTTCTGAGTGACCCGCAGCAACCCAATTTTTCCTTTCCAGCTCGATTTTATTTTCCAACCCCTTTGTGGGTATTGTCATTTCTATAGTGTTGTTAAAACCGGACCGGGCAGTGATCCGGATTAGCGAGAGGTTTAAGGTTTATCGGATAACCGTTAA